TTGCGAGCCCACTGGGAGTGGGCCCGCATGTGTGTCCAATAGGCCCTTGTCTGCTCCATGTGCAGACCATGATCGATGATACCGCGATGGTGTGCTCGGACGTGTGGTATCATTTCGTGTGGTAGAATCAGAGGGAGTTTCCTTGATCGGATCGCTGCTGCAGCGGATCTGAAAGTACACATTATGTAACCCCCTCGATGTAGCTATGCACAAAATCTTGCAATAACGTTCTTTCTGACGGTATATAGCTAGCGGTAAGATCATATTCCATATGCGGGGTCTACTTGGTCTGTCTAGCTCTGTAATGATTTATGTGAACATCATCGTGCAAACGAGTTGCTTTTCCACTTTCTCTCGGTCCACCATGCTCTTGAGCATGGGAACCTTCACCCATCGTAGCGGCACCTTGGATCGTAGCGCCCCAACCCCTGATCAGTAATTAGCTTCTTCCTAAGACCAGTGCTGGACACTCGCACGATCCTATGCACTCAACCATATTGGCCATAATAATGCCCCTCCACACCTCGTGAACCCGTAACCAGAAGACCAGAAAACCTAAATGAAACCATAGCATATACCACCGATAACTTGTTTGTCCACTCAAACCCTGAGCCCCTGGACCATATCTTGAATCCGAGACCTGAAGCCCTAGAAGACCCAAGCCTATGCTTAAATTACTAGTGCATGTTTTATGCAGATAAAAACATCATGACATTTTTTTGTATTCAAATCAAAACATATAGCCAAGAAACCAAGTCCAGGACCCCATTCAGGGCCCTCATGCAGTCTCGCTCTACATTCTGGTTGTGCGTGCCGCATGCTCCTGCCTGGCGGATTCGCTCCGCTTCTTTGCCCAGCATGTGCCCATGCATACTGAGTTCCTGCACACGCACAGTCGGCACATGTGTATGCCAGCAGGGCTGTGTGCACATGCATATGATATGGGATGTGCACAAACACACGTGCACACGATGATATGCAGCTGTTTTTCTGCACAGTGTCCTCGTGCGATTGTTGGAGCATCTCCCGGGCAGCGGTGAAGCTAAGGTCCTTGGTATGGCTGCTATGCGAAAATATACTGTGCGCGAAGGCCGGACAGGGAACATAGCAGGTAGCTAGCGTTGTCAACACAGGGTGTTGTTTTTTTTTTGGTTGTAGGGTTTGGCAGTTTAGGGTTTATGGGGTTATAAGGGTTTATAAATGGTGTAATCCCTTCCCCCTATTATAATATATAAATTAATACTGAAATCCGGCGGTATAGTACGAATATTAGGGGGGGTTCCGGCGGGTATGACTGGGATCAATCAGACAGTCAGATTCCTATTAAGACTCCAAGCCCTGCTTCCTAATCACTTTAGCCAAACCTCTTCATAACCCTTAAGCCCTAAACCTTAAGCCCTTAACCCCTAAGCTCTAAAGCCTTAAACCCTAAGCCCTAAACCTTAAGCCCTTCACCCCAAGGTCTAGAGCTTAAAACCCTAACCCTTAAGCACACTAGAGCTTTAATTAAGACCTAAACACCTCAGCCCACAAGCCTGGAACCCTAAACTTTAAACCCTAGAGCCTCAAACCCTAAGTCCTCAGCTCTAAGCCCCTAAACCCTACAGCCCTGGTCCCAGGGGGCGGCAGTTTTAGTATTGGGGGGGGGTGTTTAGTATTAGGCGGCAGCGATTAGTATACCATGATCCATGATACGATGTGCGACCCATGGATTCGAAGGACTACATCCTTGCATTGACGATGATAGTAGTTATTCATCGGTCCATTGCATACAAGTTTCTCCTTTACCGGTTCGTTGAAGAACGTGACGGGCCACGGGTCCCAGCTCATCGTCACGACCTGCGAGGGAAGTGCCATCTAGTAGCTATGTCGACCATCTAAAGTCATGCGATTTGGCACACCGAACAGCAGCAGACGGCATGTGATTAATTTTTCAAGCGGGCCCATTCCAGCACCATCCAAAAACGAATGCTCCATAGAGCAATCCATCATGACCCAGGTCATGGATGCCATCATCCGAAAACGTGTTTCTAAAGTAGTGCATCTTATAGAGCTCTCGCACAGCCCAGGACAGTTTTACTAGTACTGTTTGCTACAATCAATGGTTTGGGCAACCACATGGCACGATCATGATCGCAAGGCGGCTGCGAAGATCACGATCACTTCTTCTTACCGCCGCTCTTGGCCTTTGCCTTTGCTTTCGACTTCGCTTTTGGTGTAGCCTCGGACGCAGGATCAGGGGTCTGGTATTGTACCTGTATGGCGGCTTCAAGCTCATTGCTGGGATACACTTAAAGCCTCTATTGAGGGGGTGTTCCAATATTGAAGGCTCTCGATAGCTTGGGCTATTAGTGAGAGGTGTGGGAGGGTTGAAGGATCAGGACGATTTCATGGTACATTGTAATCACACTGGTGGGAGGGTTGAGGGATCAGGACTTTGATAAGGATCTGGTTTCAAGGTACATTGTGATCACATTAGCCTTCGGTGAGAGCAATCGCTCAAGCTCAGCTCTTATAAACCCTCAAACCTAAACCCGATATATACCCTAAACCCCTAAACCCTAAGCCTATTTAGCTAGACCCTAAATAGACTCTCCAGCTTATGTCCGAGTAAATCCTGAACCCCTAAGCCCTAAACCCTTGAAGCCCTAAACCCTTCGACATTCGACGGTCATATCTTCACATCTCCATACCAGTCTGAACCCCTAAGCCCTAAACCCTTGAAGCCCTAAGCCTAAACCCTTCGACATTCGACGGTCATATCTTAACATCTCCATACCAGTCTGAACCCCTAAGCCCTAAACCCTTCGACCTTCGACGGTCATATCTTAACATCTCCATACAAGTCTGAACCCCTAAGCCCTAAACCCTTGAAGCCCCAAGCCTAAACCCTTCGACATTCGACAGTCATATCTTAACATCTCCACACCAGTCTGAACCCCTAAGCCCTAAAGCCTTGAAGCCCTAAACCCTTCGACATTCGACGGTCATATCTTAACATCTCCGTACCAGTAGAACACTTAAAGGTGTTACCGAATGTTGTTGCTGTTGATCTACTGAAAGTTATTGGGATTTCAATGAACACAATCTCGTGATGATCCACTAGTGGCTTCGATATGCGACTGCGCGAATGAGTATCCTGGGCTGTGTGTTATTAATTAGCGAAAACGAAAGCTGAGAGACAATCAGCTTCCTGATGCCGCCCGAAGCCTGCATGTAATCGGTGATGCCCTGCACCAAGTCATCAAGGCTGTCCTGCAACTTCGACCCGTCGCCTGCATCCAGCTCGTGCTGCGTCGTCTGAATCTTCAGCTTCAGGCCTTCCACATGGACCTTGAGCTCACCGGTGTAGGCATCTTTCACGGCTGCTGGCCTCGTTACAGTGAGTGCACATTTATCCGGCAAGGGATTATGTACTATTAGGGTTTAGGTTCGCACGAGGCTTTTGCGGATAATGATGGGGTCTTGTAGTTGAGCCGTGGCACATCTGATCGTACCCTTGCATTTCCTCGATCAACACGTCCATGTCGTCGATTTTCTCGTTCGCCACCTTGATTTTGTTCTCGCATTTGTTGACAAGAGCCTTCGGCTTCTTCGAGATCGGCATCTGTGTGGTGCCCAAAGATGCACCCAACTCCTCCTGGCCAGGGAGTGGCGTCGCAGACGGCAGTGCCATCATCGGAGCATCTGCACCCCTGGGCGCCGCTGCTCCTGAGCTCGAGCTGGCCGCTGCCAGGAGCCCCCGCACCATTTCTGGCCTTAGATACGAGGTGTATTATCTTTAGGACATTAAGGTTGATTAGGGTTGGCTTGGTACTAATAAAACTAGGGATTAGGAATGTTCGAACGGCAAAGATGTCGGGATGCTGTTGGTTAACCTGTGTCAAGTTGGTTTTTAGCTCAACTTAACAGATATTATTCAGTTATTTCTACTAGACGGCTTATGTGTGGCTTAGGATACCGTGCATACCGCATATACATTATTCTCAAACATTCGTATATAACCCCTGAAGAATGTATATCTAAGGAAATCGATTGTGTGTACGTACACGGCCGCTTGCAGTATAGGCACAACAGCACAGCTGTCGCTTCAGCATCCAGACCCGCCTCTGAGTTGATCCCTGTCTTGACAACGTGCTTGTCCACCTTCTCGATGGCCGCAGAGTCCCATACCCGCAAGAGCTCCCACTCCTGCATAGGTTCGAAGTTCATCTATGCTTCACACTATAGCCCTAAACACTAATATAGACCCTAAACCCTAAACCCCTAAACCATAAACACTAAACCCTATAAACCCCCAAACCCTAAACCCTAAACCCTAAAGCCTAGATCACTTTTGGTGTATGTATGCATCTGTTTAGTTTAGGAACCATCCGCATGGGTCGACCCTTAAACCCCCAATCCCTAAACCATAAACCCTTTTTATTAGCCCTTATAACCCTAAACCCCTAAACCCCCTAAACCCCAACACCCCGAAACCCTAACCCCTAAACCCTAAAGCCTAGATCACACTCATCCTCCAGATTTTGGGGCATATATGCATCTATTTAGTTTAGGAACCATCCGCATGGTGACCCTTAAACCCCAAATCCCTAAACCATAAGCCCTTTTATTAACCCTTAAAAACCCTAAACCCCTAAACCCCTAAACCCCTAAACCCCTAGACCCTATAAACCCCTAGATCACACACTTATCCTCCAGATTTTGGTGTACGTATGCATCTATTTAGTTTTAGGAACCATCCGCATGGTGACTCTTAAACCCCAAACCCCTAAACCATAAACCCTTAGCCCTTATAAACCCTGAACCCCTAAACATTTAGGAAACATCCGCGCCTAAACCCTAAATCCCTAAACCATGAACCCTTAACCCTAAACCCTAAAACCCTAAACCCTAAGGCCCTAAACCCTAGATCACACTATTCCCCCCAGACTTCGGCGTATATCATATATGTATGCATATATATATATATTTATTTATTTATTTGTTTATATATTTATTTAGGAACCATTCGCCTGGTTTCCCGGCAGCTCCGGGTGCTTGAGCCAGAATGGCTCCTCGTCGTTCCCCTCCGTTTCCTGCAACCGTTTCTTCTCGGCATAGATCGCCATCGCTGGCCCTTCCCCCTCCCGAGCGATGAGGTCTTTCAGGCGGATATAAACCTCACGTCCAATCTTGGACTTTGACACAGTCTTTGTCGTCTGTATGTATGCAGTCGTCTGTGTCCAGTCCCCTCTGCTCGACACCCAATCGGCGAACATGGTCTCGATCGTTCGGCTGCCTTGCTAAGCCAGAGTAATCTAGCATAGTTTGGTTTTCGGGTCCGTTGCCAACTCATGGTGCTATGCTGCTATAGGGCCTGCACCTGATCATGAGGCTTAGGGTTATGTCATAGTGGTCAAGATGGGGGGTTGCACTGGAGTCAAGGGCCTGGTGTAAAAGTTAAAAGAACATTGTGTTTCATATATAGTGCTCCCAAGGAACCACGGCGGGCCTTCTGCGCCATGTCTGCCACCTCCGGCGGGCAGTTCGGACCTTGTTTCATGCATTGTACCGACTAGGGTTTAGGGCTGAGGGGTTATACGGGTTTAGGTTTTAGGGTTAACGGTTAAGGGTCTAGGGTTTACGGGGTTAGGGTTTAGGGTTTATAGGGCATGTCTAGACCTATGACATAGATCATACTATACACGTACCCACTGTATACATGTACATGTCAATTAAAGCAGCTTTGTCCTTCCGGATCCAACCCTCGATCGAGCCCTGGTCTATTTGCATATAATTACTACGTACGAGAGATCTCGTGAGATATATTGAGAAAGTTGCTGCTATCTGCGGCTGAAGTTACTCTTCAGGGACTTGTTGTAGCGAACATACAGGTTGTGGGCCAACCTGCAGTCCCGGTCGTGCTCAGTCTCGCCTGGCTTCAGCGCCATGACTGACTCCTTCCGGGGTGCGCGATTACAATGAAGTAAACACACGAAAATAGTATAGTAGTAAAGAAATGTAAGTTGTCGATCTCCTTGAAGTCAAAGCGGCGCAGCAGCTCCGGGTTATCCACTGCGAATCTGACGGCACCCGAAAGCTGCTTGGGCTTAGACTTCCCACCCTCAGCTTCCTCAGACGCCTGCATCTGCTCCACCTGGGATGCCGGCACTGTCGCCTGCTCATCGACCTGCATCTGCTCCATCTGGGATGCCTCCACTGTCGCCTGCTCATCGATCTTCTCCTCGCCCTTCTGGGCCCCGCCAGGCTGCAACTGGTCGTCCTGGGCAACGGCGGGCAGCTGGGCCTCATCCGTGGGCAGCTGGGCCTCCTTAAGCTGCTCAGTAACGGCGGCCGCTGCGTCCTCAGCAACGGAGTCTGGCTTCCGCTGCAAGTCCTCAGCAACGGCCGCGGCTGTCTCGTCTGAGACTGGCTTCGGCAAAGTGTCCTCGGCTTCCTGTGAGTCAGGCTTCGGCAAAGTGTCCTCGGCTTCCTGTGAGTCAGGCTTCGGCAAAGTGTCCTCGGCTTCCCGTGAGTCAGGCTTCAGCACGGCTCCCTCTTCGCCGCGGGGCGACTCCATGATTGTGTCCTTCAAGGCTTTGCAAAAAGCCGGTAGTATTAAGATCTATCTAGGTCTTTGCCTTAAAACCATCCCAATTACAAAATAGTTTAGAAAGCTGATTAAAAATACTCAGATAGACTAGGGGGCGGGGGTGTTATGTAGCCCCTCGGAGCTCGTCTGCACTATTTCCGGCTGGGTATCCTCGTGGATCAGTGTCTTCCACTGCTAGTATAGACACACAGTATCTACACACGTACATACATACATGCATGCATGCATACATACATACATACATCCATACATCCATGCATACATACATGC